TGGATTTGCATACCCCTCAAGGCCTGAAAGCATAATTTTCAAGGATTTTTGTCTTAAAATTCCAGCAGAAAAGACTGTGGCCTTGGTGGGCAGTAGTGGATCGGGAAAATCTACAGTAATTTCCTTGTTGCAAAGGTTTTATGACCCACTTGGAGGAGACATACTTCTTGATGGGGTTTCTATTAGTAAATTGCAGCTCAAGTGGTTAAGATCACAGATGGGGTTGGTGAGTCAGGAGCCTACACTGTTTGCAACAACCATTAAAGAGAACATACTTTTTGGCAAGGAGGATGCTGGAATGGAAGAGGTTATTGAAGCTGCTAAAGCTTCCAATGCCCAATACTTTCATATCCCAGTTGCCTCAAGGATATGACACCCAGGTTTGTCTCCACTGCAATACACACACTTTTCATATTGGGATTTATATACTTGTTTTTCGTTGTTCATTAAGTATCTGTCATTGTCTTTGTATATTTTGATCAAAACTGAGGATCACATATATTCTAAAGATTTAGTTTTACGTATAAACAGGTTGGCGAGAGAGGGGTTCAAATTTCTGGTGGACAGAAACAAAGAATTGCCATAGCAAGAGCCATGATAAGAGCACCCAAAATCCTCCTCCTAGATGAGGCAACAAGTGCATTAGACTCCGAATCCGAACATATTGTACAAGAAGCTCTTGACAAGGCCTCCATTGGGCGTACAACTATGATCATTGCCCACCGCCTTTCTACCATTAGACATGCAGATTTAATTGCTGTTGTCCAGGATGGCCAGGTCATTGAAACCGGGTCACATGATGAATTAATGGTAAATGAGAAGGGATTTTATCCCATGCTAGTGCAACTTCAACAAACAGAACAAGAACAAGTCCAGGAAAAAGGTGATAAGGATTTATCTTTGAATGCCTCAGCTTATATAACAAACATAGACATCAACAATGCTAGCAGTCGAAGACTTTCTTTAGCTAGCAGGACAAGTTCAGCCAATTCTGTATTACCAAATCATGCTTCACTAGCTTGAGAAAAGAATGTTGAGGATCAAAAATTGTCTGCACCATCTTTTAGGAGATTGTTGGCCCTGAATTTACCTGAGTGGAAACAAGCAACCCTGGGATGCTTAGGTGCAATATTATTTGGTGCGGTGCAACCACTTTCAGCCTTCACAATGGGTTCAATGATATCAATATTTTTTCTCACAGATCATGGTGAAATTAAAGAAAAGACAAAGGTTTATGCTTTCATTTTCCTTGGGTTTTCTTTGCTATCACCGATAATTAATGTTATTCAGCATTATAATTTTGCTTACATGGGGGAGCACTTGACAAAGAGGATTAGAGAGAGGATGCTTTCAAGGATACTGACTTTTGAAGTTGGGTGGTTTGATCAAGATGAGAATTCCAGTGGTACGATTTGCGCTAGACTAGCAAAAGATGCCAGTGTGGTATGTTCTTTCCATTGTCCTACCTTTTCTCAACGTGCTTGGTTATAAACTTTGTCTAACTATATGATCTTGGATGTTTGCAGGTGAGATCTTTAGTCGGTGATCGAATGTTTCTTCTTGTGCAAACCATCTCAGGTGTAACTCTTGCTTGTGCCATGGGCCTATTCATTGCTTGGAGACTTGCCATTGTCATGATAGCAGTCCAACCCTTCATCATCCTCGGCTTGTACACTCGGAAGGTCTTACTCAAAAGCATGTCTAGGAAAGCCATCAAAGCACAAGAAGAGAGCAGCAAGCTTGCTGCTGAGGCAGTTTCAAACCATCGTACCATCACTGCCTTCTCATCTCAAGATCGAATTCTGAAAGTTCTGGAAAAGGCTCACGAAGGTCCAAGAAAGGAGAATGTAAGACAATCTTGGTTTGCATGTCTTGGACTTGGATCATCTCAATTGCTTACTGCATGCATTATGGCCTTTGAGTTTTGGTATGGTGGCAAACTCATCTCTCAAGGATATATCAGTTCGAAAGCCCTCATCGAAACATTCCTCATTTTGTTTAGTACCGGTGTTGTCATAGCTGAAGCTGCAAGCATGACATCAGACTTGGCCAGGAGTGCTGAGGTTGTTGGATCCTTGTTTGCTATATTAGACCGCTACACAAGAATTGAGCCTGATGACTCTAATGGTTACCTTGCTGAAGAAATTACAGGACATGTAGAAATTTGTGACATTGATTTTGCATATCCAGCTAGGCCTAATGTGATCATCCTCAAGGACTTCTCAATCACCATTGAAGCCGGAAAATCAACAGCATTGGTGGGACAAAGTGGATCTGGAAAATCAACAATCATTAGTTTAATTGAGAGGTTTTATGACCCTCTCAAAGGATTAGTGAAGATTGATGGTCGAGATATAAGGTCGTACAACCTAAGGTCACTGAGGAAACACATAGCACTTGTTAGCCAAGAGCCAACACTATTTGCTGGCACAATAAGGGAAAACATTTTATATGGAGCATCTGATAAAACCGATGAATCTGAAATCATTGAGCAGCCAAAGCAGCCAATGCACATGATTTCATTGCAGGCCTGGCAGATGGTTATGATACATGGTGTGGAGACAGAGGAATGCAGCTATCTGGGGGTCAGAAGCAACGGATCGCCATAGCCCGAGCCATATTGAAAAATCCAACAATGTTACTGTTAGATGAAGCAACCAGTGCACTTGACATTAAATCAGAGAAAGTGGTACAAGAGGCATTGGAGCGAGTGATGGTGGGGAGGACTAGTGTGGTTGTGGCACATAGGCTAAGTACCATCCAAAACTGTGATCTTATTGCTGTGTTAGACAAAGGGAAGGTGGTGGAGAAAGGTAACCATTCATCTTTGTTGGCCAAGGGGCCAACCGGAGCTTACTACTCTTTGGTTAATCTTCAAAGAAGAACACATAATTCTACTCCATCATTCAAATAAGTTTTGTGTATATTAGATGAAAAATCCAGTCAAAGAACTTTTAATACCATGAAAATCAGCACTAGCAATAGACCTAATATTTAGTTAATTTTTGTGCTAAATTATCAACCAAAGTACCTATTATTCTTTTATCTAGGGGATGATTTCTGTGGAGATCCATATTTAATTTACGAAGTATTATTTATTTTTATTTAAAAATCTCATAGTTTTATCCATAAAAAAATATCTTATAAATATAAATTTAAATATCTCTCTATATATATGTATACTACATTATCGGAGAACTAAGAGTAAGAAAAAAAATTAAAAAAATCAAAAATCGATTTAAAATTATAATGTTCGGTTTGGATCAATTTTTTTTTTTTCAATTCGGATATTAAATGTATATATTATATTCGATCATATTTCAAATCAAAAAAATTAAAAATTAAAAAAAGCTTAATCAAATGAAATTATATATTTTTATTAACTTATATAATTTTTAAAATTTTTAGAAAATAAAAATTATTATTTTATACTTAAATTTATTTAAATATTTTAAAAATCATATTAAAATAAAATAAAAACAAAAAAATTAAATTTAAAAAATCGTTGAATCAAATCGAACCTATAAAACTTAATTTGATTTGAATTATATAAAAATTTAATTTAGATTTAAATCAAATTTATAAATTTATAAATTTTATGCATTGTTCAAAATAATCAAATCAAATCAACTTTTCTAATACAGAAACCACATTGCCCAGGAAATTCGAGCTCGTCCAGCAAAGATTATGTTCTTTAATTGGATTAGAAATTTGTTCGGTCTTGTTGTAAGAGGTTGATACGGGCCTGCAAATGAGAGTTGTAAGTTGGGTCGTTTCATTTTCAAGGCCATAGAGATTTCTGGGTTGCGACCCAGTGAGGGCCTTCAAGGTCCAGAAGTTTAAAGACAGACGCAAAAGTAGATAAAGAACTGAGCAATGAATGAAGTAGCAGCCTCGCCGGCGAAACTGGAGCAGGCGCTGCGCCGCCTACAACGGCGATGACAGCAACAAAAGAAAATCATTGTAAAAGAAGGCAAAATTAGAAACTAAAAATTAAAAAAAAAAACACAAAAAATTTATTTGAATTTTTTTTAATTTCTAAATTCAGATTTAAAATTTCATATTTTTTTAAAAAGGAAAAAAATTAAACCACCACCATGAAAGTGGAATTGACAAAAAGTAGCATTGTTATTAATTATATTTCTAATTTTTTATTTTAAATATTTTTATCATTAACAAAATTCATCCAATTTATAAGCAAGAATTCTAATTTAATTAAAAGATCTTCATTAAATAAATTTATTTGATAATAAATAATATTGAAAGAAATAAATAAATGTTATACATGAGACAAATTTTACATATTAATACAAATTTCAATTAATATATAATAAATTATTTTAATTAATTATACAATATAGAACTATATTCAATAAATAATTATTATTTAAAAATAGATAAAATAATAACTATTCCCTATGCATGCGACAACAAATATTAGTAAGTTTAAAAGATTAATTATAGATTTAAATCCCCTAATAAGGTCTATATTACTATTAGGCAGACAACTTTACAAAATTAGTCTTCAAATATACGTATATATTTCAAAAAAAAATTCATTAAAGTATGTAAACTTAAAATAATATAATTATAATGTGCACTTATATTAATATTATTTTTTAGTATAAATTTTTAATTTTTTTAATTGAGATTATTTAAATTTAAATCTTAATCATTGAAATTAAGAGTCAAATATATTACAACAAATTAATAAATCAAATTTCAAGTTTCTAACAACCAAGTTATTATTTTTCTTTTTCTTCTTGCATGTGGTCTAACAAGTAATATAATAATGTAATACCAATTATATTAATCTATAAAATTTGTGCAACAGCCCTTTTATTCACCAGAAAAACACCCCAATGTCAACCTTATTGCTTTAGTCACATGCTTAATACTATTTGTCAAGCAATATTAAGGTTTTATATACAACTCATGTTCACATGGCAAGATTTTTAGTACATAATTTGGGTTCTTCTCGGGCTTCTAATGTTGTTTTTGTTATGAGAAAAAAAATGGATCAAGAGAAAGGATCTACAGCTATGGAAAAGAAGAAGAAGAATAAGAGTTTAAGGTCCATTTTCATGCATGCAGATGGTGTAGATTACTGTTTAATGGGTGTTGGGATGATGGGAGCCATTGGTGATGGATTTTTTACACCTGCTGGGATTTATATGATTGGTAGCATGTTCAACAATGTTGGTGGTGCTTCAGCAGCGCAGATGATGCTTATCCACAACGTTAACCAGGTAAATCCTGGATATACTTTTTATATATACGCAAATGCCAGGCATTTGAGTTAAGTTTTGCTCCTAATAACCTGATTGATTTTGTGGTGATAGGTTGCATTGTCTCTGGTGTATTTAGCCTGTGGGGTATGGATTGCATCATTCCTAGGTGGGTTTAATGTGAACATGGTTTTCTTTTCCTTTTTTTTTTTTTTGGTTTTTTTTATTCTCAGCCAAGAGGCCAAGAATTATAGTAGCAGTAAAGAATGCTGCTAATGTTTTTGTTTTCACCTAATTTGGAGTTTTCAGAGGGATATTGTTGGACAAGAACAGCTGAAAGACAAGCCACAAGAATGAGAGCCAGATATTTGAAAGCAGTGCTAAGACAAGACATAAGCTACTTTGATTTTAATGTAACCAGCACAGCTGAAGTCATCACAAGTGTTTCTAATGATACTCTTATAATTCAAGAAGTTATCAGTGAAAAGGTTGTTCATACTGAAAATGAAGATTCCATCTTACTATATTATCAGCAATTATTATGACTATGACGAAATTTTTTCTTTTTTTTTTGTTGTTGTTAATTGTACGAAAATTCGCATCCAACTTGGGAAATATTATCTACTTTGATCTGAAAAGTCTCTCTGTTTTATCTCCAAAAATGCCTCACAAGTATAGCAGATTGTCACAATATCTTGTTTGGGAGTTATAAATTGCTGCTTAAAATATTGCTTTCCGAAAAACTAATGCTTTGATGCAAGTTATTTGTTAATTGATTGGCAATTTTGGTGTTGTATCAGGTCCCACACTTTCTGTCAAAAGCCTTTGCTTTCCTTGGAAGTTACACAGTAGCTTTCCTGATGCTATGGAGATTAACTATTGTGGTGTTTCCTTTTGTTTTGCTTCTGGTGATTCCTGGTTTGATATATGGGAGGATTTTAATGAATATAGCTGGGAAGATGAGGTTAGAGTACAACAAGGCCAACACAATAGCAGAACAAACAATATCTTCCATCAGAACTGTTTATTCCTTTGTTGGAGAAAACAAAGCCATTACTGAGTTCTCTGCAGCTCTAGAAGGATCTCTGAAGTTGGGGTTGAAGCAAGGGTTGGCTAAAGGATTGGCCATTGGCAGCAATGGTGTTACTTTTGCAATATGGGCATTTGTTACTTACTATGGTAGCAGAATGGTCATGTACCATGGAGCTCAAGGTGGAAGTGTTTACATTGTTGCTGCCTGCATCGCAATTGGTGGACTGTAAGTATTACTAGTTACAACCTTTTGCTTTCAGAAATGTTGGATTGTAGTTATTTCTAAATTTTCGTTTGAACTGAAAGTATTTGTGTCCAAATAAAGCATTATTTGAAAACTTTCCTCCTTGAACAGGTCCATCGGTTCTAGTTTATCCAACCTAAAGCCCATATCTGAAGCATGTGCAGCTGGAGAACGTATTACTGAAGTGATTAAGAGAGTTCCCAAGATTGATTCAGACAACATGGAAGGTGAATTATTGGACAACGTTTTAGGGGAAGTTGAATTTAAACACGTTCAATTCGCGTATCCAGCAAGGCCTGAAAACTTAATTTTCAAGGATTTTTGCCTCAAAATTCCAGCAGGAAAAACTGTGGCCTTAGTGGGAAGTAGTGGCTCAGGAAAATCCACCCTGATATCACTGTTGCAAAGGTTTTATGATCCACTTGGGGGAGAAATTATTCTTGATGGGGTTTCCATTAATAAATTGCAGATCAAGTGGCTAAGATCACAAATGGGGCTGGTGAGTCAAGAGCCTACACTTTTTGCAACTACAATCAAGGAGAACATACTTTTTGGCAACGAGGAAGCTGAAATGGAAGAGATTATTGAAGCTGCCAAAGCTTCCAATGCCCATAATTTCATATCCCAAATGCCACAGAAATATGATACTCAGGTTAGCTCCACTTCTTCTCATAGCAGGCATTCACATAGAAAGCTTTACATATCATTTAAATGAACCAAATATGAATGAATTTTGTCATGTCCGTGATCTATTCATTTAATTAATGAATCCTAAAATATGGTTTGTGATTGTTATCAAGTTTAATAAATGAACAAAAATTGAGCCTGTTTACGAGTTGATCATCGACCGTGCCGTTAGTTTATATCCTAGGTTTGTCTAATATGCTGATACATGACTGCTATCAGATTTCAATTGACACAGCTAAGGCTTTTTCTTCATTTTATTCACTAAACTTTACTTGCCATTGCCTTGTCTATTTTGATTATGAGTAAGGATCACATAGAACACAACAGTAAAGCTTGATGTTTTCTTTTAATTTAAACAGGTAGGTGAGAGAGGCCTTCAAATGTCAGGAGGACAGAAGCAACGAATTGCCATAGCTAGAGCAATAATCAAAGCACCCCGGATCCTCCTCTTGGATGAGGCAACAAGTGCATTAGACTCTGAATCTGAACGAGTTGTTCAAGAAGCACTAGACAATGCTGCCATTGGTCGTACTACTATTATCATTGCTCACCGCCTTTCTACCATTCAACATGCAGATTTAATTGCAGTTGTTCAAGGTGGCCAAGTCCTGGAGATTGGATCACACAATGAACTAATGGAAAATAAAAATGGCTTCTATACCACACTTGTCAATCTTCAACAAACAGAAAAAGAAAAATCCCCAGAAGAAACAGATAGAGATTTATCCACATATGCCTCATCATATATAACAAACGCAGACGCCAACAATACTAGCTGTCGTAGACTTTCATTACTTAGTCGTTCAAGTTCTGTGAATTCAGTAGCACCAAGTCATGCATCACAAGACGGAGATATCAAAGTTGAGGATCATAAAACTTCTGCATCTTTTGGAAGATTGTTGGCTTTGAATTTACCAGAATGGAAACAAGCAAGCTTGGGATGCTTAGGAGCAATTTTGTGTGGTGCAATTCAACCGCTTTATTCTCTCACAGTGGGGTCAATGATATCACTATTCTTTCTTACAGATCACGATGAGATTAAAGAGAAGACAAGGATTTATGCATTATGTTTTTTTGGATTGTCAGTGTTTTCATTGATAACCAATATCATTCAGCATTATAATTTTGCTTACATGGGTGAACAACTGATGAGGAGGATTAGAGAGAAAATGCTTTCACAGATACTGACATTTGAAGTTGGGTGGTTTGATCTAGATGGGAATTCCAGTGGTATCATTTGCTCTAGACTAGACAAAGATGCCAGTGTGGTAAGCACTGTTTTCCACATTGTTCATGTTTCTTAATCGTGTATAACTTTTTTGTTCATTATATGCTTGATTTACCTGCTATAGCTGTGCTCTCGAATGTTGTCAGGTGAGATCTTTAGTGGGTGATAGAATTTCCCTCCTTCTGCAAACCAGCTCAGTAGTGACCATAGCTTGCACCATGGGCTTAATCATTTCATGGAGGCTCGCCCTTGCCATGATAGCTGTCCAACCTCTTATCATCTTTTGTTTCTACATTCAAAAGGTTCTACTCAAATACATGTCCAAGAAAGCCATCGAAGCCCAAGAAGAAAGCAGCAAGCTTGCTTCTGATGCAGTGTCCAACCACCGTACAATCACTGCTTTCTCGTCTCAGGACAGGATTCTGAAAATGCTTGAAAAGGGCCAAGAAGGTCCAAGACGAGAGAACATTCGACAAGCATGGTTGGCAGGTGTTGGTCTCGGCACCTCTCAATGCCTTACAGCATGTGTTTTGGCCTTTGATTTTTGGTATGGTGGCAAACTCATCTCTCAAGGTCATATTACTCCAAAAGCCCTCGTTGAAACGTTCTTCATCTTAGTTAGCTCAGGCATTGTCATAGCTGATGCTGCAAGCATGACATCGGACTTGGCCAGGGGCTCTAATGTTATTGGATCCTTGTTTGCTATATTAGACAGATATTCAAGCATTGAACCCGAAGATTCCAATGGTTACTTTGCAGAAAAAATTGCAGGAAATATAGAAATTTGTAGCATTGATTTTGCATATCCAGCTAGGCCTAATCTGATCATCCTCAAAGACTTCTCGATCACCATTGAAGCTGGGAAATCAACAGCATTTGTGGGACAAAGTGGATCTGGAAAATCAACTATCATTAGTTTAATTGAGAGATTTTATGATCCTCTCAAAGGATTAGTGAAGATTGATGGTCGAGATATAAGGTCATACAACCTAAGGTCGTTGAGGAAACACATAGCACTTGTTAGCCAAGAGCCGACGCTATTTGCTGGCACAATAAGGGAAAACATTTTATATGGATCATCTGATAAAACCGATGAATCTGAAATCATTGAAGCAGCTAAAGCAGCCAATGCACATGATTTCATTGCAGGCCTGGCAGATGGTTATGATACATGGTGTGGAGACAGAGGAGTGCAGCTATCTGGGGGTCAGAAGCAACGGATCGCCATAGCCCGAGCCATACTGAAAAATCCATCAATGCTATTGCTAGATGAAGCTACCAGTGCACTTGACAGTCAATCTGAGAAAGTGGTACAAGAGGCATTAGAGCGTGTGATGGTGGGGAGGACTAGTGTGGTTGTGGCACACAGGCTAAGCACCATTCAAAACTGTGATCTCATTGCAGTGTTAGATAAAGGGAAAGTAGTGGAGAAAGGAACCCATTCATCTCTGTTGGCCAAAGGGACAACAGGAGCTTACTACTCTTTGGTCAGTCACCAAAGAACACCACACAGCAGTTCTAATTCTAATAAAGCCAACTAAATCTTCCACTGTTTTATGAATAATATTGATATTTACACAATTGTAACTTAATTCTCATATTGTTTCCTTATTTTTACCACAAAAATATACTAAAAATCGTTGTTTGCATGTGAAATTCATTGATCATACAATTCCAGAACCAAAACCAACATCTAAAAGGGTGATTCTGATTTATTTTAACTCTTTTTTTTGGTACAAAATGATAATAATACGATGATAGAAAAAGAGATTATAATTAGCCGAATTAAAATTTTAAATTTATTGAATGACACCGTTCTTAAAAATATTAACTCGGGCCATAGCTTTGGGTTCAGTTTAACTTTAACTATGGGATATCTTTAACCTGAGGCTGGATATTGCAAAATAGTTTGAGCTTATCCAAACCTAGGAATGGGAAAGATGGCAAGTGGATGAGCTTGTCCTGTTCATGCCATCTAATTCACAAAAGGGAGAATTGAAGATTCTTCAACCAAATTTCCTTTCTAGTAATGCTCCAATGATTTAAGAGAAAACCCGTTGTTTGAAAACTATAAAAGAATATAACAAGAAAATGGAAAAAAAAAAAAAAAAACACTTAACACAGTCTCCAAATCATCTAGATTAGTAGTAGTTAAGAGGTAACTTTACTGCTTTAATAGGGAAGGTTTAGGATTCAATTTATGTCATGATAAAACAACTATTATCCATTGTTAGAAATTTATTATCAAGTCCAAAAGAAATTTTTTTATTATCATGAATTAAATTTAAATATTATGTAGTGATATGATACGAAAATAATAAAAAAATATAAAAATAACATGATTTAAAATTTTAATAAAAATCATACATAAATTTATCAGTAATTTTAATTTATTGATATAAATTATGATACGATAATTTTATATTTTATAGATTTGAAGAATTTATGTATTTTTATTACTAAAATTTTAAATCGTATTATTTTTATATTTTATATTCGTATCGTGTTCATATCATATCACTGTATCATATTTTAAATTATCAATCTAATATTTTATAGAATACATATACTATACAAATACATAAATTAATAAATCTACCATGAATGGAGGAAGACTTTTGAAAATTTTTCTTCATGATTTCTGCACTACCCAAAAAAAAAAAAAAAAAGAAAACCCAATATTAGTAACTACATATATATATATATATTTTTTTTTTCTAAGTTGTTAATTATTGACTAAGTTGAGCCACCAAATTCTAACCCAGACTCCCACAAATTACAAAGGATCAGATCATCAGTTTACCTAACAATTAAAAAAAATGATGATTAAGTTGATAATCTCTAAATCTAATCCTAATTAACCTCACAGAGTAGGCAATATCATTGTCTTGTAGTCAATTCCAATGTCCTGTCCAAGAAAACAATAGGCTCATATCAATTCTTTTGTGAATTGGTTTCATCCAACGTGTAAAAATCTAATTTGATTTTAAAAACTAAAAAAATAATTAATTGATTGTAAAATTTTATTTTACTTCCCAAATTTTAACTTTCAAATATTAAAGGTTCATTAAATAATATGATGAAAAAGATTTTTTATTACGTCATAATTATATTTTAAAATTAAAATTTTAAAAATTTAATCATAAAATGATTAACAAAAAAAAAAAAAAACTATGCTTGGCCTTTTAGGTTGGTTCCAATGGCCCATAAAAAATAGTGGTCTTGGCCCTTTTAGCATTGACCCAAATGAGATAAACAGACACATAACAAAATTTCAATCATTTGTTTTGTAGCACCAAATATTGTACATAAAGATGACAACGGATTAGAAGCAAGATTTTATTTGCTCCGAATTTAATTTAATTTTATAAATTTAATATTAAAATTTGATTTGATTTGATATTAAAATATTATTTTTAATAATTAATTTTATTTGTATATGTTTAAATTTGTAATCAATTTGATTTTATTTAAAATTAATAAAATATTATTTTTAAATATAAAAATAAAATTAAATAAATAATAAAAATTAATATATATCGAGTCGAGTTGAAATAAGTTTACATTAAACCTAACCTTTACCTAATCTCAACTTTTTTTTAAAAAAAAAATATCTGATTTAATCTGAATCTTAATTTTGAAAAAAAAATTCTTATAAAATCATATCAAATCTAAACCTAATGAATACGGATTGAATTGTCAACTTGACAGATTGAATTATCAACTCTAATTGTACAAAATTAATTAAATACATATTTATAAAAGAAAGATGTGAACAACTTACATCCAATTAATTTTTCCCAAAACCTTTTATTACATTAAAATAGCAATTAATAATTATCTTCAATAATTATGGATCTACTAAAACTCAAATAGTATATTACATTGTATATGGTTATAATAAATTTGCATAAATTGAAAAAAATGATATTTTAAAATCCTTATATTTCATTAACATAAGTTGTTAAAACATAAAATAAAAAAAAATGATTATAAAACATGAAAAAAAACACAAAATCTTTTTGAATATACTATGAGAGACATTTTTATCATATTGTGAGTATCATATTATTAATTGGACTCTTAAAAATTCAATTATATATAAAAAAATAAAAATTCTTATATTCAAATGGAATTTTAATCATATGCAAATCAACCTTCACAAAACCCTAATTCACTAAAATCAATATCTTATTTTTATTAATAAACATGTATCATCATCTTAATCTTATTTGAGTTAAAAATTTTATTATTAGTGTATCAAATAATTTTTTATTTAAATTTAGATTTGATTATTTATATATTTGTATTGTATAAAATATTAAAATTCGTATATTTGTATCATATTTTAAATAAAAATTATGTATTATAATTCTCGACACAAATATATGAAATGTATGTTTTGATTTTATTAAACTTATATATAATGATTATTAAAATTTTAAATGATATTATTTTTATTTTTTTATTTATATAATTTTCATGTAATATTTTAAATTACCGAGCTTATTTAAATAAATTGTAAAAAAAAAAAAATCACCTTGGGCCTGTGGTTGATTTTGGAACAGAAAAGGAAGCCCACTAAATAAGAAACCACAAAAACAAAGTATAAAACACAGCTCAAAACTCAAAAGTGTGTTTCCAAATTTACAAGACAAATTCACAAAATCTCGTTGCAAAGAGAAACCCCAAACATTAAGCCATCTCTCTTTTTTCTAAAACATTTTATATTTTTTCTTGTTCAGATTTTGACTCTCCCCATCTCCCAAAATTTTCTCTTATACATCTTCTCTCGTTTGTATATATATTCTGCCTCTTCAATTCTTTCTCTCTTACACAACCGAACCCAAGAAAGAAAAAATAGCAAGACAAAACATAGGATCAGAGAAAAAGCAACTGGTTTGGTTTCTCTGTCTTTCCCTTCTGTGAGATCTGTTACAGAGGAAAGTAAGTTTCTTTAACCCTATTCTTAAAATGGGTTTCTTTTTATTTCTTCAAAGGTTACTCATGTTAAAAAAAATTCACTTTTTTGTCTTTTGGTTTACAGGGATGAAGCGAATAAGAGATGATGTATATTCTGGTTCTCAATTTAAACGTCCATTTGGTTCTTCAAGGGCTGAATCGTAAGTTGTTTTTATTCTTTCCTTTTTTTATAATCTGTTTACAGCTACTTGCTTTTTTTTGAGGGTTTGTATGGTTGGTTTTGTTTGTATGTGACAGTTTGGCTCTTTTGGTAACCTGGGTTGGTTTTGTTTTGATTGCTGGTCGGTTATTGTTGTCAGCTTTAATGATTTTGTTTGGTAAGGTTTGACAGGGAATTTTGTTAAATTTGCATGTGGGTTTGTTTTGTTTACCACTTGAATTGAGTGATTTGTTTATGTTCTTGACTTGTCATGTTTGGCTTGAATCATGTTGGTTTTTATGATTCTGGGATCATTACTTTAAGTAGGATTTACCTCTTGGTTGTGTAATATGTAGTAAATTTACATCTAATTGAATTGAATTTTAGGTTCTTTTTATGAGTAATCATCTGCTGAAAGTAAAATAGGTTTAGCACAAATTTTTAGAGTGTTTGATTGGTGTTGATCAAATGGTTGTGGTTCTCATTTTTTTATTGTTTCTACCTATGAAGCTATGGGCAAAACCAAATGCCGGGTGGAGTTGGGGATGGAGGTGGAGGTGGAGGTGGAGGTGGAGGAATGGGAGGGGGAGGTATGTCACAGAAACTGACTACAAATGATGCCTTAACGTATCTAAAGGAAGTCAAGGAGATGTTTCAGGATCAAAAAGAGAAGTATGACATGTTCCTTGAAGTCATGAAGGATTTCAAGGCTCAAAGGTATCCTCCTTTGAAACGCCAAGTTTTTTCAATGGACAGTGGATTGTTGCTTTATGCTACTAAATGTTCAATTCGTCTTTTATATTCTGCAGGACTGACACAGTTGGTGTCATTGCCCGAGTGAAAGAATTATTCAAAGGGCATAACAACTTGATTTATGGATTTAATACCTTCCTGCCAAAGGGATATGAAATAACTCTTGATGAGGATGAGGCTCCTCCAAAAAAGACTGTTGAGTTTGAAGAAGCAATCAGTTTTGTAAACAAAATAAAGGTGAAATCATTGTGCCATAATCCTTTTTGTTACCTATGTATTTTTTTTTAGCCATCTAAAATCCATTTTACTATGCAGAAACGTTTCCAAAATGATGAGCATGTTTATAAATCATTCCTGGATATCTTGAATATGTACCGCAAGGAGCACAAGGACATAAATGAGGTCTATAGTGAGGTAATATGTCATATTTTGGTTGTTACCTGTGTTCATTAGCTCTTTGGTGCTTACTGAATCTTAACCTCTTGAGTTTTATTCCAAAAAAATTCTTTTTTTATTGTTTCATTGCTTTCAGGTTGCTTCTCTTTTTGAGCACCATCCAGATCTGCTTGAGGAGTTCACAAGATTTTTACCAGATTCTTCTGCAACACCTTTGACACAAGTTCCATGTGGTCGGAATTCATCTCTGCATTATAATGAGCGAAGCTC